TGCAGTACCCCTCCCCCAGCATGTTCCTAGTCTTTACTGTAAGATTAGCTGAAGTAAAGGCTGTAACATTTCTTGGGCAGGCCCAGGTGTCAGGCTTGTCTGAGGATCATTCCTGTTCCACGGTCCTTTCTGCTATTCATATGCTGAGGTTTTTATTTTGTTTTGTTTTGTATTGTTTTGTTTAAGAGACAGGGTGTCACTCTGTCTATTAGGCTATGCGGTGGCATGATCATAGCTCACTGCAACCTCCAACTCCTGGGCTCAAGCTGTCCTCTTGCCTCAGCCTCCTGAGTAGCTAAAACTACAAGCCTGTGCCACCACGCCCAGCTAATTTTTAAAATTGTTTTGTAGAGACAGGGTCTGGAACTCCTGACCTGAAGCAGTCCTCCCAGCTCAGCTTTTCAAAGTGCTGGGATTACAGGTATGAACCACCATGCCCAGTCCATATACTGAATTTTTTTTATTAATAACACTTTATATTTGCATAATCTTTAGTCGATTCCTTTTTGTGGATAAACTATCTGCTTACCTCTGTCTGCGGGTATTAATGCTGCTACTCTAAAGTCCTCTTGTGCTTTCTCTGTTAACTAATTCGTTGTTTGAGTTTACTTTTTGTCCTTACTGGAGTTGGCTTTCTCTTGTTGTTTGCTCATTCCTGAATGTAATTCATCTTTGTAGTTGAAATTCTGCTGCTTCTGTTTTCCAGCTGCCGGGGAGAGGTGAAATGGTATGCTAGCGCTTGTGTTACAGGTGGATTCCCCTGAGAATAAGGAAAGGGTGGGAGGCAGCTAGTAAGGGAGTGTGTGCCCTTCCTCTGGGGTTCCAGGACCCTGCCCCCTTTAACACCAATTGCTCCTGCCTGGAGGAAGACACCTTTGCCGCCTGGTCCAAGGAGGAAGTATATGGGGTTGATGTGCCTCTGGCTGCTCCTCCTGTAGTTTCCCAACCAATAACCCTGCAGACAGCTCCAGGGCATTTCTGATGCGGGAGCATTTGTAAAGCTGCTTGCAAGTTTTGAGCTAAGGTGGTGAATTTTTTAATTATATCTAGTCTATCATTTTAGGGATTTGGTGGAGGTTGGGGGGGTAGAGACTTGGCAGGCTCTCAATCTACCAACTTGAAATAGCACAATCTCTTAGGAAAACAATTTTGTACTCCTATTATATCCTCGAGAAACTCAGGCAAAAGTGTTATGGGAATGCATGTACAAGAATGTTCAAAGCAGCATTGTTTGTAATAACTAAAAACTAGAAAAATCTGAATATTCATCAACAGTAGAGGAATAAATAAATTGTGGTATAGTGATACAGTGAAATACCCTAAGGTGGCATTATTCAATAAAAATATGATGCGAGCCACATATGTAATCTTAAATTTTCTGGCAGTCACTTAAGAAATAAAAGTAAAAACGAACAGGTGAAACAAACATTAATATATTTTATTTAATCCATATATCTAAAATATTATCATTGCAACATGTAATCATTATGTATGTTATTAACAACATATTCTATTCTTTTTTATACTAAGACCTCAAAATATCCAAAGTATTATCATTTCAATATATAATTAGTCTAAAATTATTATTTAGAGAGTTTACATTACTTTTTCCATACTCTTTTGAAGTCTAAATTCAGTTGCTGAATTTTCATCACAAATACTTAATCTATATTTAGATTTCATAAAATGTGCAGTTTAAAAAGTAGGATCCTATACCCACGTTGTTGCAAACATACTTAAACGTTTTCTAATAACTGCATTGGGTATCAGCTTTCAAATTTAAACATAATTAAAATTACTGACATTAAAGATTCAGTTCCCCAGTCACACTTCGCCACACTCAAGTTCTCAGGAAACACATGTAGCTAGTGGTGAGCTATCGGACCCGCCAGACAGGCACTGAAAGGAGCCACCCTCAGCTACAATGCAACATCATCATAAATTCACAAACAGAATGTCGAGTGAAAGAGGCAAGATAGAGAGTCACATGTGCAATATGATTCTGTTTACATAAAATTCAAGAAAAGGCAAACTAAACTA